ACAGAAGTCAGCTTGGCCACACCCTCCCAGCAACCAGGCAGAGAACCCCTTGCTAAACGTTTTGAAGCCCCCCCCCCCCCCCCCCCCCCCCCCGCCATGCCCTTCCCCAAGGTCAAACACAATCCTGATGACATCCCTGGACTTGAGTTATATGTTTCGATAAGAGGAGGAGTTGGGAAGGAGAGTGAATTTGCTTACCAGGGTTGGGCAGCTGCTTTGGAGTTAATCTCCAAAAGATAATTTGGAGTGCAAATTATCTTTGGGAGATTAACTCCAAAGTGCTGCTCAACCTTAGTAAGCAAATTCATTCCCCTTTCCAATTACTTTGACTCCCAAAAGATAGCATTTCCTTTCCTAAACTTTGTGCCTCTCAAGCATGATAAGACTACAGTCCACTCCGCCATGTGGTTGGGGCACCCACACAATTTCACAGGTGCCCTATATGTAGGCAGTGTTTTTCAGCGGGTGAACACATTTGGATTGCCGAGAGCATATTGTGGGTGCTCTCACAAAAGACCTGCCATGTGGGCATGGCCAATGCCAAGGAACTAGTTTACTCTTCCCCCTCTGGCTGCCTCACAGGCCCTCCTACCAGTTCCATTTATCATCATTGGAAACTGAATGCAGATGCTGCACGCTGACATTTTGCAGCATGCTGGCTTCTCTTTCTTTAATTAGGAGAAAGAAAATCAAGGAACAAACACTCTGATATTGGCAGCATGCAGTAGCATTCTGTGCTTAAAAAGGAGGCAAGGGCACCCCAACGGGGCTGTGGGAGAAAATAGGAGGAGGAAGATAAAAATTACTTGCTGCCTCGAGCATAAAAGCAGTAAAGGTGAGATGAAAAATGAAATGGATGGAACAGAAGGGAGGGAGGGAAGTAGTAGTCAGATGGATTCCCAAGAAAGAGGGGGTGATGTCCAGAAGAATAAGAGACAACTCAATTCAGATGTTTTGTGTGAGAGAAAGAGGATGAAGACAGCCCTTCCCTAACAGTTCCCAGAGTATGTTGTAGATGCAGATTGTTTATTTCAGTTTGGCAAGAGTTTGTCTATAGGAAACAATAAAGAATTCAGCTTGGAAGAATCACCAGGAGTCTTTATCGGTTGCTTGGGCCTAGCATTGATCAAACTCATTAAGGTGGACAAGAAATGGACATGCACAAGAAAAAGAAAAAAACAGAAACATCAAGCTCCAAAAAAGCTTAAACCTTATCTATGTGGGTCGGGGAGAGGGAAAGAAGGAAGGAAAGACAGAGAAAGAAAGGAAAGAAAGAAATGAAAAGAAAGAAAGGAAAGACAGAGAAAGAAAGGAAAGAAACAAAAAGAAAGAAGGAAGGAAAGAGAGAAAAAAAGGAAAGAAAGGAAAGAAAAGAAAGAAGGAAGGATCGATCATATCTGACCACTGCATAATGCTATTATACATTTTTGATTTAGAGTTGGTGAGACTTGCTCTACAGGGAAAGGAAAGGGAGCTGGTAATCTGGTAACAGACAGGGCCAGAGGCACACACTGCCCAAATAAGCTCACAGGACCAGAATGGAGTCAGCCTCTTGGAATATCAAAGGCTATCATCTTGCACAGGGAGCTTACCTTTTGGGGTGCCATCCCCATGGTTACCGTGCACGCCAGGACCACGAGACACCATCTCCAGTCGCCCCACAGCTTTCTCCAGTCGTTCAACTAGACTCTGCAGCTCTGTCATCTTTCAGCACCTGCTAAATTCAACCATGGCGTTAGGAGGAAGCTAATGCAGCTCGTACCGAATCCTATTTCAGGGCCTTTTGTGTAACAACCTGAGAGCCAAACACTGAAAAGAAGCTTATTTACAGAATACTGACAAAAAAAACACAACAACCCCTCTCCACTGAAACCGGGCCCAGAGCAGAAATGCAATATTCACCGCTCAGCAATTACACAGAGATAAACATGTGGGTGAACCCAGCCAATGTTCTGCATGTGAAGCGGTGCAGCTTTTCTCTTGGATGTACAATAAAAATTAAACAGATGGAAGTAATGGGAACATTTTAATCTCTAAGCCCCTTGTCCTTGTGGAGGTATCCGTCAATCTCTTCTGCAATTCATTCTAATGTTTTAGCTTGGCTGGGGATCACCGGTTGCTGAGTTTGTATTTAGACCCAGAAAGTTGTGGGTGTTTTGCCTTTCTTATCCCACACAAGTACTCGCCTCCACAACCACACGGACGCTGATCCTAAATGGCTTCCAATTTTCATCCATGGGGGGGAGTATTTGAACTTTGGGCAGATCTGGAGAGTCAATTACGTGTGGGTGGAAGGCTGTACATGGCCTTCAAGTAGCCAGCTTGGGGGGCAGCTCCACATTGGGTCATACTAGGACAAATGATTAAATGTCATTTTAAACGGAATGTGATTAACATAAATACTTTCTGGCAGGCTGCAGTTTGGAAGAAGTACTTCTGAGGCCTGAGCTAGTTTCAGCTTCCTTCTCTGATTCATTAGAGAAGCTGGGCATTTCAGGCTTGAAGGAATCCACTGATTTAAGAATCTCCTTGATCTTAATGAATGGATTCCATATGCATATGCATATCTGTGCATATAATTTTATTAGGTAAAAGTAAAGGTTCCCCTCACACATGTATGCTAGTCATTCCCAACTCTAGGGGGCAGTGCTCATCTCCGTTTCAAAGCCGAAGAGCCAGCACTGTCCAAAGACATCTCCGTGGTCATGTGGTTGGCATGATTAAATGCCAAAGGCGCACGGAACCTTCCCACCAAAGGTGGTCCCTATTTTTCAACTTGCATTTTTACGTGCTTTCGAACTGCTAGGTTGGCAGAAGCTGGGGCAAGTAACGGGAGCTCATTCCGTTATGCGTCGCTAGGGATTCGAACCGCTGAACTGCTGATCTTCTGATTGACAAGCTCAGCATCTTAGCCACTGTTGTCCTGTGTATAATTTTATTAACAGTCTGGCATAACCAATTTTATTGTATACATGATATACAATGACAATAAAGGCTATATTATACTATAATAAAATTCAATACAAGTCAGAGAAAAAGAATAAAAAAGTAAAAAGCACAAGAAAAATGATGGAGAAGTAAGAAAGGAAACACACCAAGAAGTGACTTTCAACCTTTCCCATAAATAAAAACAAATGCAATGATTCTTCACGCTCTCTAAGGCTGCAAACATTTATCGCTTCATCGCCCATCCAATCTCTTATCTAGAAACAAATCCATAAAACATCTTTTCAGTCCTGATGTCAGCAGAAACTCCCAAGAAGAACATGCACTGCTTTAACCTTGATCAGACAATCTAACTTTATATTCCCTTCCTTTGACTTTTAAGGTTCGTAATTGCTTCAAGATTTGACTTCTCTTAATGGAGGGATTCCTTAAAAGGAACAGCCCTGTTCTTTTAGCTTACAGCAAAGCCAGGAGGTGGTCTGGGAAGCAGAGAAATCTTGTGCAAACATGAGATCTCAAAGCCCAACTTCCAAATTGGGGCAATGGTTTCAGCTAAATTAGCCTGCCAGGCTTAGGGTGGGCATGTGCCAAGATAAACAGGTGTCCAAGATAAGAAACAAAAGCACCCTTGTTTGCTTTTTCCTACCCAACCTCATTTTCCAAGGAATGCTAAATAATGGATGGCGGCTTTTGAAAGCTATCTTCCCTCAATGGAGGACAAAACCTGCTGTATCTTTATAAATGGGAGGCCCTTTATAGTCCTCAATCCCATCCATCTCTCAATTTTATGGAAATGCCAAGGACGACCATGGGCCAGCTACTTTTTAACCACTTATGCCATTTGATCAATGAATCATCCCTTTCTATTGGAACATGAATCCCAGCTCTAGTCAAAGTAAAATCTTCTATTGGTTAGATCTGAAAATGATGTTTGATCCACTATCACCCCCTGCAACTACTGTATTTTTCAGAGTATAAGACGCACCTTTTCACCCTCCAAAAAGAGGGTGAAAATCTGGATGCATCTTATACACTGAATACAGCATTTTCGGCCTCCCAAAACCCCACCTCCTTCACAAAAATTGATGTGCAAATGGTTTGGGAGGCCTGCAAAGTGCCCCTGGGGGCTGAGGAAGGCAAATGCAAGTGAAAAATAGCCCCTTTTACTCATTTTTGCCTGTCTCCAGCCCCCAGGAGCACTCTACAAGCCTCCTAAAGCCTATGCATGCCCTTTTTTGGACAAAAAATGGGCCAGTTTTTGCTTGTTTTTGCCCCCCTCCGCCCAGCCTCAGAAGCACTTTGCAGGCCTCTCAAACTCTCTTCATGTCCCGTTTTTCACGAAAAATGAGGCTTGCAGAGGGTTTGGGAGGTCTGCAGAGTGTAAAAACTTTTTTAAAAAAATTTACCTCTTCAAAATCTTGGTGCGTCTTATACTCTGAAAAATATGATAACTCTGCTCCGAGTGTCTTTAGAAAGACTTCAGACATATTCATGTTTTAAATTCCACATTCGTGGGATGTGAAACAAAGGCTCTCAAGGGAGTGAAGCAGGGCCTGAGGCAGCTACTAATGCGATACAAAGGATGGCAATTCAGACCTACCCACCCTTAATCACAGTGTCATCTCACACTCTATGAGAAAGGATGTTACAACAGGGTAGCACAAGTGGGTTGGTGGGTGGAGACCCTTGGAGGACAATGGTGTGGACTGCACTTGAAGAAATGAACAACAGTCCAGGTAGTCCTCAACTTATAACTATTTCTTCAGTGACCGTTCGAAGGACTGAAGCAAGTGACTTATGACCGGTTCTTATATGACTGTTGCAGGATCTCCATAGTCACATCCTCAAAATTTGGACGCTTGGCAACTGGCATGTACTTATGACAGTTGCCTTATCCCATGTGATCACCATTTGCCACCTTCCCACTTAGCTTCGGACAAACAACTCAATGGGGGAAACCAGATTCACTTAACGGTCTCATGATTCACTTCCTTGCAGTGATTCATTTAACAACCATGGGAAAAGGTCATAAAATGAGACACAACTCACTTAATTGCCTTGCTTTCAAGACTTTCAAAAGGAATTTTTTTTGCTTACCAGCCAAAACGTTGGGCTTAATTGTGTGGTCATAAGTTGAAAAATACCCGGGTAGCTCAATGTGAGGTTGGCTTAACACAGCATGGCTGTTCTGACCAAGGCTTCCCAAGAGCACGAAGCAAACTCCTGGTCCTGACAAAAAACCCTTTGATTTATTTACTGTGAATTCTGCTCCTTCACATCCAGCAGTCTTTCAAGGGAGGATTTACAGTCACAGACCTTATCTGGCTTGGAGAGCTGCCATGCCGATATCTGCAAAACTTGGCAAGGAGCCTTTGAGAGTCACGAACCAATTAAGTGAATGAATTGTCTCCTGCAAACTCTACTCCCCTTTCGCTCCTCTTTGATTTCCTCTGGGAGGGCTATTCATCGTCCACCTGTGGCCTTACTCCCAAGTCGACCCCTGTTCTTTAGCTGTTCCCTTTGTCTGGCAGCTCTGCGCATGCACACACTGGGAGCAGGCTCCAGCTGTTCTTCTGCCCCACTGATGTCTGACTCTGAAGGCAGCTGATAACTGGCATACGGCTCTGGCCCCCTCTCTGCCTCCGACACAGAGCCCTCATTAGAGCCTTCCCCAGCCTCCAGGACTGGCCCATGTTCCTCCCCAACCTCCTCACTGTCCGAATCTGCTACCAGCTCTGCTGGCTGGCCACAAGAATGGCAAGACAACGTCTGGCTACAGTACTGAACTGCAAGCTATTCAGTCCCGTTTCAGTCCAGCTTATTGCGTTATTCATAGCCACCCAATAAGGAAACAAGAGTTGCCTGAAGCAACACTTTGCTTCCAAGTCACCGCATACGCCTCAAAGAGGAAGGACGTTTCCTCATTCCTGTAACAGAAAACTCTTTTAACTTCCTCTTTGCAGAAAAAGCACTGATACCTAGGGTGTTTCATGAATTCAGAAAAAAGTTGCTTTTCACTAAGCTTTAAGCTGCCGCTTATTCCCTAGCTTTTCCTTTAAACTTTGCCAGCTCTGGAGAGAGCATGTGAGTATATGGAATATTTACAGAATTGATGGATATCAGCTGTTAGGAAAGGGGATTTTTCTTCCAACTAAGTGGATTACACAACTTCAGAGTTTCTATCCTCATCCAGTATCCAGGAAACTAGACTGGAAAACCAGGATACATTTTCCAGAACCAAAGCAATTTGCTCGTAATCACTGGTAAATTGAAGATAGGTCTGAGTCATGAGTCTGTCATCTGCACTCCTATTACTATCTGGTTTGGTTCTGCAACCCAACATGACAGACACAGACTTCAAAGGATAATCAGAACTGCAGAAAAAACAATGGCTACCAACCTGCCTTCAATCGAGGACCTGTACACTGCATGAGTCAAAAAGAGGGCTGTGAAAATATCTACAGACTCCTCACATCCTGGACATAAACTGTTTCAACTTCTACCCTCAAAAGGACGCTGTAGGGCATTGAACACCAAGACAACTAGACACAAGGACAGCTTTTTCCTTCCAGAATGCCATCACTCTGCTAAATAAATAATTCCATCAACACTGTCAAACTATTCACTAAGGCTGCATTACTATTACTATTTTCCTATCACCCATCTCCTCTCACTTATGTCTGTAACTTTGTTGCTTGTATCTTTACGATTTATAGTAATATTGTTTCCTGATTGCTTATTTGTATCCTATGACAATCATTAAGTGCT